AATCATTTGTTTGTTTTTAAAAGCCATTTTAACAAGTTATAATAAGATATCAAATTTTGGTTAATGAATCTAAGCAGCGCGTTCAGGAGTACCTTACTTTGAAATTTTGAACAAATCATTTTGGCCGTAAGCAAAAATTGTGAAGTCTACCAATGGATTTTTGGCAAAAAATACGTTTCTCTTGAATTAAATTTAATGTGCTAACTATTTAAGTACATCGAATAATACACAAGCACCAAGAAATGACCTCGAAAACCGTAATTGGCGGTAATTAGCATTGCAGTAATTAAAATATTCTAAAAATCATTTGAACATTTTCTAAAAGCCATTTGAACAAGTTATAATCAAGATATCAAATTTTGGTTAACAGATCCTTAAGCAGCACGTTCAGGAGTACCTGTACTGAAATTTTGAACAAATCCATTTTTGATTAAGCAGCACATTCAGGAGTACACATATGTGTACGATTAGTAAACATAGCTACCTCAGGTATCAGGTGAAAATATATGAGAACAGTGATCTGGGAAAAAATAAATGAATCAGACATATGTGAAGTGTTGGGGTTGATCCATAAACTATACTCCAATGAAAATATCTTATGTACCTTGGCGTGAGATTAAAACACATTGTTATCCCATGTGACAAATAGCCAAGAACAGTGTAAGGATTCAAGAATCCTTACAGCCACTAATTACCCCGCAATTGAATCGTGGACCATATAATCGAAATCAGCATGCTCTGGATTACTTGTAATGTGATTTTTAACGAAATCTAATTTTTGGGCCAAAACTGTCGAAAAGGTAAGTCTTACACCTTGGTAATTTTTCGCCCAAAATAAACTTTTTTAACAGAATTGAAATTTATCTGGTTTAACTAATTAAGGTCAACATTTTTAATAACTAAGATAAAGTGCCATAAGAATACTAGTTGGTATTTCACCGTTCCTTCCACTTTCAACTTGATTAATGAAAAACATGAACTCACAGTGCCTGGATTGCTTTGCCAGCTACCTAAAGAACACTACACATACTGTCCTGTGGTCTGGTGGCAGCAACCTTAAGTTAAGAAAAACCTAGTACTGTATTAAGTGACCACTAAAGAGCAGTATATCCAGACTGTGAATTTTCAGGAAAATTATGAACAAATTTCTCTTCCGGGTATCGGAAAGTTCCAACTAAGAAGGATTCTGGCTAATGGAGATATTATAGTGTTTATGACCAAAATTTGCAACCAAATCCAAATGGACTTATCCTGATGATTTAGTGGATTACCTTAACTAATTCTTTGAGGAAAAGTCATAAGACAAGTTGGCCACTGACCTGTTGCTGAAGATATATCCACTTGGTCCATGATACAGCATCCCAGGGCCCCAGCCAGAGTCCTTACCAGGGCTTCCACCAGGGCCACCACCAGAGCTCCCACTAGGGCCACCATATCCTCTGTAAAACACTTTGACTCACAACTAGCATTCAAATTCAGAATAATTTTATGATTTAATCCACAACAAGACCCAGTGACACCCATCTCATTTACCCCTATTGCTTTATATTATACAGTTTTATGTACTAAGCCCCAGCATCAAGGATCATTATGTCCTGCCAAGGGGACTATGCAGGGTGTTGACTTTATTGCACCTGAAACCCCAGACAATATTGTACCATGAATTAAATCTCCAGATGAAGAAAAGAACTTCAATAACTAGCAAACTTATAGGGAGAGAGTTACCTGCAATTCACTGTTCTGCAATTAATCCAGGAAGTCAGTCCTATAGCGGCCCCCTCGGCTGCCTGTTTCTAACCTGACCTGACCTGACCTGACCTGACCCAACCTAACCGAAGCTCAGACCTCCTCCAGCAACCTAACCAAACCTAACCTGACCCATGTGCATAACGATTTATGAAGAGAAGATAAATGGAATTAAATAGAGAAAGATTTGGCAGGTGCTATCCCCGTTATTATACGTTTCCGACGGTAATGTAATATAAAAAATTATCTTAAAATTAAACGTCTTTTTGAATGTGATAATAGATTTTGGGAGGAATGTTGTGTTAACTACTATAAAAATACCGTTTCGGTTAAAAATGAAAATGTTCACATTTTTGCAAAAAACGCTAATTTGCAAAATAAATGATGGACAGATGAAGTATAACACTGAAAAATGGAGAAAAAATGAATAATATGAAATATTCTCGTTCCAAAACCTGAGGACAGCCAATGGACGAATATTTACCGAGTACAGGATGTGGTAGCCATCAGTCACCCAGTTGTCTATCACAACACCTTACTATAAACTAAGTATACTTTCACTCACCTGTTGGTTCGCCTCTCAGGTGATCTTGTCTGCCTATTGACGTAAACACAATCCATATTTTCTACGCTGCATCGTTCCAGTGTTCGCATAACAGCAACAAATATATTCTTAATGATACTCACAAAATCCTTATAAATCTCGGAAGATAATCCCATTGTTTTCAGGAGCATTAAAGACCTTCAATATCACCTTTAAACTGACTGTTGTGTTGTCTTGGCTACCAATACCGGGTTATGTAACAGAGAATATAGTGTTGTTTATTCTAAATAATATAATACAAATAAACATTATAGTTAAAATTACACGAATTAGTTTTGTATATAACCCATATTGTAAGACTCTTAATAAATCCGAAAATATTTTCTTATTAAAAGCAAAATTCACAATAATGTAAGCATATTTAACTCCGTCCTAGTGGTTCCCTACCTGTCCTGCTGTCAGGTGATCATAGTAGACAACAGGTATACAATTAACACATGATTGTTTAGTAAATAAAACATTGATAAATAATGAGGAAGTTTTGGCCGGAATTATCAACTACATTAAAAATATCATGTACAGGAATGTTTAATTATTAATCACAACAACCATAAGAAGATGGGTTAGATTTCCTTAGCCTTGCACAAAGTGGGTTAATCCCCATAAAAAAAAAGTTTATGAAAGAAAAGGACATTACGCAGTTCCATGACATTTGCTCATGAGAAAGGCTCACAACATTAATGGGAAGGAAGGCAGATGCTCACGACTTATTAAAAAATTATTTTCAAATCACAATTTATAAAAACAATATAAAGACGTAACCTAACCTAAACCTAACCTAACCTAACCTAACCTAAACCAAACTAACGTAACGTGACGTAACCTAACCTAGCAGCAATAGGGCACTGCATCCGATTGGGGTAGTTATAATTTTAATACATTGTGACATTTTTATCCATTATGAGTTGCCAATACAAATTATAAAACATATGGTAAAAATTTTAACACAATTTATAGTTTTTTTTATAAATTGTGATTTGCAAAAAAAAAATGTGAGCAGGTCTTCCTTTCCATTAATGTTGTCAGTATTTGTCTTATGAGCAAATGTCGGCACACCACATATTAAAAACCTACCATATTTTGTACAATTTAATCCAACTTACTTAAATATGTGTCCTCTTGGGCTTTATCGACGACATATAGGTATTAAACCATAACCCATGGGATATAAAGTACTTATAGAAATATTGGAACTTTATTTTTAGCCGAATCAAAACAGGTGTGTGCCGCATTAGAGATGGGGAGGGAAGGTAAGTTAACTTTTGTCATAGTAGATTATATAAGATGTTTACTGTCCCAAACCAACACAGCTTCCCATTATGATGTTTCATCCCGGTAGTTGTTTCAATACACCAATGGTTATGTTTCAACAGGATATTAGCCAAATATCGCCATATTTGATAGTTGTCCTGTAGTGGATTCCTCCCCTACAAACGCTTGTCGCTGAGTAGCCGACCCCGCGAATTCCCCAGTGTATGCCTCGTGGTCTAGGTCAACCAGCGCCGCCTTACATGACGGAGGTCAACTATTAAGCCACGCCTACCTCCGCTCTATAAGACCTGACCTCGTGGTAACCTACCTCTCTCTTTCTACCTACACCAACCAGCAAGCAACACCTCCTCCTCCATGCCTGGCGGCCCTCGCTCCCGCCGGCGAGCATGGCGACCCACAAGCTGGTCCTCCTCTGAGCATCCTCACCAACCAGCTCTCTCTACATCACGCTTGTAACCACGCTGCCACTTCCCAGCACCAAGCTGCACTGTACATCCAATACAATATGTATGCAGAGAGCATATTGTGAGTTTCCTTTCTCCATCCCATCCCGAGTGTGAACCCAATAACCCGTACCCCACAGTCCTGACACTACCATATATTTCCTCTGTAACTCACGGCGTTGTGTTGGCTGTTGGTTTCCTGCTCTTCGTAAGTTTGTTTCATATTCCTTCCTGGTGTGGTTTAATACTGCGGTTTATCATTACTTTTTTGCTAAATTAATCCATCTTACGTGAGTTTTGGCTTTTGAAATTTTAAATTATATAGTATTTTTCTTATCTGTTCTTATTCAAGTTCTTATCTGTTCTTGAGTTGTTCTTCCTGATGTATTAAGTTTTTGTTATGTTTACAAAGAAAATTCCTAATTATCACACACTTAAAAATCCATATAAAGTATCCAACATATTCCTTGGTACTAACTTTCTCTTAAAATTGTTCATCTTCCTCAGGCGAGTGTGTACATTGGTGCTGTCTGCAAGTTATCCTCAAGGCTGGTGTTCAAGTTGCAACTCACCTCTGTTCATCGGCCTTTGGTGGAGTATTAAGGTTTTTTATTTTTTTTCAGACTTAAGAGTAATGGCTGAAATATATTGAAGGTTTACTTCCTGTGATGAGTCAATACTGTACTTGTTGTTTTCAAGTTCGTAGTCTGTTCAGTAAAGCACACGTTATATATAATGTATTGCAAACATTATATGCATTTGTTTTGTATTTAACTAAAGAATGCAGCTTCCTTGATCCTGATTAGGGAGAGCAAATATTGTATGGTTTAAAAGTGATGTTTAGAAATGTATTTGAGTGTATTGCTGGACACCTGTATAGTACTGTACAGTAATCTGCTTACCAGTGGATTCATTCATTCTCATCATGAAACTTATTTAAATTATACTTTTATTAAATAGTCTTACTCTTGGGGAACATTTCCTCATCTCAAATTAATCCAGGTGTTAGATAACAACATTAGTCCCTGTGGTAGTGTACAACAAGAGTTTTAGAAGTACAGTACAGTAAAGACAAATTCTTAACATCATCCACCATGTTATAACCCAGACAGAATTATTCACGACATTAAGAACGCTCAGACACAGTCATCTGTTGCTTTATTATCTCAACACTCAGTTACAACACTCCACTACAGTCAGACGTCGTCAGACACAAACACAGGCAACAACTTGGCAGCCCCAGAGTAAAGTTCGTGGTAATGTTGGCAGCCTCCGGGGGTTACCCAGCCCTGCCAGCTGGGTCCACCCCATCACCTTTACACTCACCAACACTAGTGCTGTTGACATGCTCTTTGCACTAACTTAGTACAGTACCTTGATTAAACTTCTTATATTAAAATTATGTCCTTTTTATACAACCAAATCTGAGTAAGCTATAGAAGATATTTGAAAATGTGTCAAATATTCAAGTATGTGGTGGTGGCCCACGAGGCCTGGACCCAGCCAGCCAGAAGGTACCTGCCGAGGGCTGTTGAGAGGTGGGTGCCGCAGACATGGTGGGTGTGGTCAGGGCATGATGGGTGTGGACAGGGCATGGTGGGTGTGGTCAGGGCATGGTGGGTGTGGTCAGGGCATGCTCGGAGAGAGAAAATAAACAATATCGTAATTATTGCCCTCTACACTAACATAACACGCCCAGAAAACATCATATTTGTGCATCTGTACATTTATTTAAGCACAGCATCATGCATGCAGAGAAGACAGAACATATCACATATTAATGAGAGAGGTTGTCAGGTAGATCAGCGTGTCACAAGGAACCAACAGGAGAGGTTTTACTTTTGCAAGATAGTGTATTTTGAGGTTGACTCACAGGGTGGTCTTGGTGATGGTCTTCATTATTAATAGATTTTAGAAGTTTCATGTTCATTGACTCACATATGTTAGAAATACTTGAGGATTTGCTTTACAGAATAATAACTCTTAAATAAATGACAAAAAACAAGTTTGTGCACTGTGCAGTTTGTAGTCTGCATGTATACAAGAGGTGTGATTGGAGGTGGTCTCTCACGAGCTGTTAGTGAGCAAGTAACGGGTTGTTACCAGTGGCACCTAACACCCTTTAGTTTAACTCTAAAATAATGTCATGCAGGTACATAACAGTCCACACCTGCAGTAATATGAGTGATTGTCCTGGTTCATCTTTACTCACACTAATACTGTACGTATTTCAATACACAAAATTAACAAATTATATTTGTTTTTACTGTAGCACCTTAAACTACTAACTGATGTTGATAATATTTAGAATAAAGCATTCAAATTAAAATATCTTACTATGAACCTTTAAAATCTGATATTTGATGTAATGTTCTTAATCTTCCCATTAGTTCTTACAAATATTATGGTAAATCTTACAGACATTGATAACTGTTATATTGTAAACATTAGTAGGTATAACAGCTGATCTAAAATAACAACATTACTATTTCTATCCACATTGTAAACATGTAAATATTCCAATTCCCCAACAACACCTAGCCAGACAACCTCAAACACTGGACGAAACACGACTAAACACAATGATGAAGGTGAACATCAGGGTGAAGCAGATAAACTCTCGTGCCTACCATAACACTCAAAAATGTTCGCCCAAACTCCAAGGAAGATTGATGAACTAAACTAACATCTGAAGAATGTTGGCGATGACTCGACCAACACCTGAAGAATGTTGGCGATGACTCTACCAACACCTGAAGAATGTTGGCGATGACTCGACCAACACCTGAAGAATGTTGGCGATGACTCGACCAACTACTATGGAATGTTAGCTAATGTACTGATCAAGTTCTGAGGAATATTGGTAAAAGATGCAATCAACTTCCAAGGTACATATACAGTTAAACAAAGATCCTCCTTAAGAGAAGCTCAAAGCTGAGGATCACCTTTCACAATACTCAACAATTCAGCTAATCTAGAATTTTAAATCTTGACACACAATAGTTACTCTTGAGTCAATTCACAAGCTCCAAATTTCAAAGAGAATGCAGTTGTTCAACATCTAATAACAAAAAATTTCTAAAAGTATAAAATTTTGACAATTAAATTTTGAAAATATATTATCAGAGTTGCAAAAATATCTCCACAGCAAGAAGGCCAAAGTTAAAAAGAAATTTTGGGCTCAGATTTTTCTGAAACCTTCACAGCTGAGAGTCAGTCAGTCCTTCTCTCTGTACACAAAACAGTGGTCGCTGGTCTCTCAAATAAACATTATCACAGAAAATATTTTGAGAAATTTCTACACTTAAATTTAGTGGATGCTGACAAAAAAAATAAGCTTATTACATATTCACAAAAATATATATAATAATTAGGTGATTAGATAGGTAAACGTGCTATACACTAACTTAAGGATAATTAAGTCTATTCGTGGCTGTTATCTATGATATAGAATCCAAACAATAACATAACACTACTAACTCTCACAAAATGCCAACTACAGGTGACCATAACTTGTATTGGTGAGCTACAGTACTAGTCATCACAAGAGTATTACGTCACCCCTAATATAATACTTGTATTAGAATAGTTTTCTTGGTGATTAGGAGATTATTGGAAAAATATGCTTATTCTCTGCCAGCTTCCCAATATCAGACCTCATGTGTCTTGTATCATGCCTGTCGCCTTATCTTCTCTGGTTACTACTGTGTCCACTACAGTACCATACCAACTTTTATTCCTTTATAAATTTACATCCTTCATCCTTGTATAAATTCTTGAGCTTTGCCATTTCTTACTCTTTTTGTTTATCTCTTCTTCAGTCTCTGTCACGGACTTTCAAAATTGGCTTCATTATGCCTTCTGGAATACCTCTTTGCCATTCTCTTTACTTCCTGCTCCTTCTCCTCCTGTCCTAGACTTGTGGCTTTGACTTCTTAGTCGAGGAAGCCGGTGTTGACCAGCTTCTCCAAGAAGAACTTGACGTCTCCGAGTTCAGAGTCCTTGATGCCGAGGGACTTCAGCATGCCGATGTCTCCGTTCTCCACTGCCATGAAGACAGAACGAAGGTGCTCCACGTCGGATCGCAGCAGGTGAAGAGTGTCACCAAAGTCATCAATGGTTTGCGACTCTGTAAATAACAAGGAAGGTGAAATATACTGTATATTGTCAATGAAATCATCAGTGGTCTGTGACTCTGAAAAGTCTTAAATAAGGTTATGTAAGTGAAAAGATGCATCAAGTTATACCACTTTTGAGAGAGAGAGAGAGAGAGAGAGAGAGAGAGAGAGAGAGAGAGAGAGAGAGACTAAGTACAGTATAACAATAATATATCTACATAAAAAAATAACTTAAGAGCCTTTATTAGACACATCCCTCTAAATTTTTATAACTATATCAACTAATAACTTTTCTATTGAATAATAATCAGGAATTTAAACAAGATAACAGGATTTATAAGGAACTTTTAGCCCCAATCCAAGAGGTTTAAGGACGTGTGATAATATTAACAAACTTTAAAATTTCAAGTAAAAACCAATAAAAAAAGGTTTTAGACCAAAGTAAAGAAATTAAAGACAAAACCCAAGACCTAATAACTTAATTTTTAAGAAAGAAAAATAATTAATTTATATAAAATTTAAATTTATGAACTTCACCATCAAAACTCATGTATTTCAAGCCAAAAGTCCAAGAAGCTTTAGCTATATTGTACTGTAATCTATATCAACCAAACAAAAATAATATGAACATTCTTGTTCCACAATATATTACAGTACATTAAGTGTAAAACTCTAATAGTTTAAACCCCAAAGTCATACAATTATGTACAGTCACCAAAACAAAGTAAATCATAAGATCAAACCAATAAACGTCAGAAATTCCAGTAATTGTAACCCAAAAATCAAAACAGTTTCATACAGTAACCTAAGCCCAGACCTTCAGAAATTTATACAGTACCAAAAACCTGTGACTCTGATGGAAGAACACAGTCTTTAAAGAATTCTATACAAAACTGTGAATTCATAACACATAGCACTGTACTCATCACTTGTAAATGTCTAGTTAGACCTACAGAGGCAATTTATTTATTTAAGAAAAAATTCATAGTTTGAAGTGAATATTCAAATACACCAGAAATTCTTATCTCAAACCTTTAATCTTAACAAATAAGTTCCCCATTTTAATATATATTTTTTATTTTACCACAAATTCACTACCAAACCCTGAGAAAACGTTCATACACTTGTCTGAGAGGAGAAAAACTTTTACACACTGACCTGAGAGGGCGACAGCTACTGCCTCAACGCCTCCCAGGGGCTTGAGAGCATTACGAGCCTTGGTACCGAACAGCTTTTCCAGGTAGTTGGGGCCGTGTGAGGCTAGGAGTGACTGCAGGAAGGATGCTGTCTCCTCTACTGGTGGACGCTTGGCTGTAATACAGTCAACAGTTAGTGTCTTCTACTGGTTGTAACAATTAGTGCCTCCTACTGGCTGTAATATAGTTAACAGAGCCCCATACAGTTAACAGTTAGTGCACTTTACTGATTGTAATAGAGGCAACAGTTAGCATCTTATATTGGTTGTAAGTCTATGGTACAGTTAGTGCCTCCTACTGGCTGTAATACAGTTAACAGTTAGTGATTCCTATATATGCTGTACCAGTTAATCGGTTCTTACTGTACCATATATAAAACAGACTGCTATAGTATATTATTTACTTCACTGTGAGTCCATCACCGACATCAAAGACACAGGGACAGACACTGACCTGCAGTACAGAGTCGTGGGTTCTCGTCGTAGCCATCAGGACAGTCGGGGGCGCCGTCACACAGGTACTGGATGGAGATGCACACCTCACCTCCAGGACACCTGAAGGGTTCGTAGGCCATGCAGTCTCGCTCAACTGTGGGAGAGAGACTGTGGGTTAGTTTCAGTGTTACCAACCCCACAATATAGTGTTACCAACCCCACAATATAGTGTTACCAACCCCACAATATAGTGTTACCAACCCCACAATATAGTGTTACCAACCCCACACTATAGTGTTACCAACCCCACACTATAGTGTTACCAACCCCACAATATAGTGTTACCAACCTCACAATATAGTGTTACCACAATATAGTGTTACCAACCCACAATATAGTGTTACCAACCTCACAATATAGTGTTACCAACCCCACAATATAGTGTTACCAACCCCACAATATAGTGTTACCAACCCCACAATATAGTGTTACCAACCCCACAATATAGTGTTACCAACCCCACAATATAGTGTTACCAACCTCACAATATAGTGTTACCAACCTCACTATACAGTACTGCCAAACCCACCATGATAATAAAAATCTGCTTAACGTGTAGAAGATGTCGCCAATACAACAACCACACCCTAAGTGTCAAGGAATAATCCGAGATGACCGGACAACTCGCCAACTACACTGGCGAATCATTACTTCGGCACACTATCTGCAAATCGATTAATATCCAGGTTCCCAAATATTGCCTGGCAGACAGAGGCAAATGACATACAGAAACGTGCCCATTTTGCTGACCTTGCACCACAGGTTGCCACAATATACAGTGTTACCAACCCCACAATACAGTGTTACCAATGTCATAATACAGTTACCAATCTTAAGCAAGTATTACCAACCCTACATTTGTTACCGATGCCATAATCCAGTGTTACCAACTGTACTGTACTTCAGCCCCTGACCCCAGCACACTGCCTTCACATCTGTCAACATTACCCGGCTGTCAGGTGGGTTGAGAGCACCATGCTGGGCGCTATTTGTCAGGCAGCCCCCCTGAGGAGTCGTCCTACCCTTGACTAGACGACAGAGCTGCCAACAGTACTGACACACTCATTAATACCAACACAACGGTGGGTAAACACAAACACCCGAGACTTACCATCTGGGAGAGAGGGTTAGGTTAAGTTAGGTTAACATTGGATTTGGTTGGATTAGCATTAAGTTAAGTTAAAGTTATGTTAGCTTGGGTTAGTTTAGATTAGTGACAGGTTGGGCTTGGTTAGGTTAAATTACATTACGTAGTTATGTTAGAATAGGGTAGTTAATTTTAAGGTGATATATGCTGGGAGGGCTAATCTTTAGGTGATCCTACTGTACAAAGGTGAAAGCATTATTATAAACCTAAAAGGCTTTGATAAACAACAACTAACTATTTTTGTTCTATGTATATCAGGAACAAGAGTGTGAAAACAAACAAACAAGCAAAACAAACACAGGTGAACACATCATGATCGATTGTTATATATATAGTCAGTAAAGTTGTCATAAAAATATATTGGCATGTATAGACACAATACAGGTATACAGTTCAGCATGTATATAGATAATGTAGGTATATTTTAATAAATGAATATTCTTTATATTAAAAATGTCGATTATTCTGAGAGAGAGAGAGAGAGAGAGAGAGAGAGAGGGGGGCAGGTGTGACAGGTCAGCCTTGAATCGATACAGTTTATTAGAGCCGAGGGTGTTGCTCCCTGCGTGTGTTGAGCGAGGTGGGCGGGTGTGGTGGGTGAGGTGGGCGGGCGTGGTGGGTGGATGAGGTGGATGGGCGTGGTAACTGGGTGAGGTGAGGGGCGTGGTAACTGGGTGAGGTGAGGGGTGTGGTAAGCTGGGTGGTTTAAATATGATGCTCATTTGTTTACATTTTGTTTTCGATTACTTATAGTTTACTGATGCTCTTCTATTTATACTTAATAAAGATTCTTTCGTCTATATATTCTCCAAAGTTTATTAATTTATAATCACGTACGATCGTTTCATTTTTAGTTTTCTGATCCTCTTTTGTTTACAACCAATTAAGGTTCTTTCATTTACAGCTCTCACTTCGTTCCTTTATTTTCTAGTCACAGACGTAACCCTCCGCCATAACAGTTACCGGAATGATCGTAGGGGGTGTCACAAGTTGTCGTAACGAGACCGTAAAGAGAGATTACAGAGGTGTGCCGCGGTCAAGGTGACAATATACTCCTCATCCTCAAACACTATATTACACACCTGAGATACACACCTGACACACATGTCCTCAAGAAATAATACCACTAACTCTTCATCTTCTACCTTACAAAATGTCTTAATATAAATGACGCTTTAAATAGCTAAGGCTGTCATTAAGTCATCATAATTTTTTTTTTTACCATAAACGACACCAATTCTTACCAATATAACAGATACATTTCACGTTATAACAAAGGCACCATTTTTACCAATCTTATCATATTTATATTTCAATGATATTCAAATAGTGAAGCCAGACCAGACCAGCCTCCTTCTCTCCCTCCAGGCCACTATTACCCTAGTTGGTATATTTTCCTTCAGCACACAGGAATATGAAATAAGGTTAAATTCACTGTGTTAAAAAAAAAACTAACGGAGAGACAAAAAGAGGAGGAAAATAAATAAACGAAGGGATAAGAGAAGAGAAAAATAAAGACACGAGGAAAATAAATAATAGCCGAGGAAAAAATAGACTGATGTGAGGAAAAGAATAATACTAGACGACGCCCAGTTTTTTTATATTATTTTCCCCGTCTTTAGGGTGGATTTTTTTTTTTGGTGGCCACTCAACGAACATTTTTACCCACCGATGACAACAACAATACGGGTTATTATTATCTTAAGATCAATTTATTTATCTTTCTATATTCTTTTCGTTACGTCTTGCTATGTATGTATGTAAGTAAATTTCTTATCGCCCTTCCATATAATATTTCTATCTATTCATTTTTTATCTATGAATATTTTTTGCTATCCGTATAACTATTTATCTACCATTATCTATCCATAAATGCATCTATCTATCTCAAGGACTACTGTTAATGAGCAGTAAACACACACACACACACACACACACACACATCACAATCCAATGTACACCTCGTCCCTAATTAGCTGTGACTCAATGATCTCACAAACAATTAATTTTAACTATTCAATAACAGCTTCCAGGGTGTCTAGGAACAACTCTATTTTGTAACAGAAGAACGAGGAAGGTGTTAAGAAGACGTAAACAACATGGTCATTAATTGGACAGGTAAGGGAGGTGTACAAATGAGGTAAATTGGACAGGTAAAGGAAAGGGGTGAGTTAACGGACGGTCTTCCTTACTACACAATTTGACGTCGTCACCTGGGCAATAATATTATGGCTAGGTGTCAGAACTATGGCTCAGCAACGCAATATGGTTACTTAGCGAGGCAAATTGCTGCCTTGTGTTACTTAGGAGTTAATTGTGTTAACAGGAGGCTATGACGCGAACCTAGACGATGATGTTAACCGAGACTGACGCTAAAAAGTTAACCAAGGATGTTAACCGAGACTGATGCTAAAAAGTTAACCAAGTCTATATTAACCGAGACTAACGATAACCTTGGCTATTACATTAACTGTGATTACAACGTTAACCTAGGTCATGACGTTGTGTAAAAAAATGTATATAAACACACATAGGTGACTGTAAATATACTTGATACATAAGCCTTTACTGTTACGACCTGTTTATATAACCTTCCAGTATCCATTGCCACTAACAAGCGAGTGGAATCATATAGCTAATGAGGCTGTTGCTCTACGTTATTATGATATAAACTGTTGGTTGGAAATATTGTTAACGCCTATGTGAAGAACGACGAGTAATGTGTGTGTGGTGTGATGGTGTGGTGATGTGTGGTGTGATGGTGTGGTGATGTGTGGTGTGATGGTGTGGTGATGTGTGGTGTGATGGTGTGGTGATGTGTGGTGTGATGGTGTGGTGATGTGTGGTGTGATGGTGTGGTGATGTGTGGTGTGATGGTGTGGTGATGTGTGGTGTGATGGTGTGGTGATGTGTGGTGTGGTGGTGTGGTGAAGGTGTTTGGAAGTTAAGTTAGGTTACGATAATACTGCTATCATAATATTATTTCACAACGTAATTTCTATATTCAAATAGCTTACAGCAATACGACTAATATTGAAAATAATACTAAACAAGGGAGAGGAGAGACATGAATAAGAGAGATACAAGAGATGCTAAATAAGAAAGATGAGACGCTAAATAAGATATATAAGGAGCGCTAAATAACACATCCCAATTTAAGACACTAAATAAGAGACGTCTACCGGCAGTGTGTGTAAACTATAGGCACCACATTGCCTGATAACCTCTAATGTTTACAACTTTTCTTTATCATCATTATTAATTTAAGTATAATGTTTACTATTGTTGTTGTTATTATTATTACTTATGAGTATATAATTATCATTATCTATTACTTCAATTTGTTTTTATTTACAGGGTTCATGATGTATTTGAACAGAGCGTAGTAGTAGAACAGCTTTTTGTCCCATATACAGTTGTGCAGTGTGAACTTGAAAACTGTATACTTCTGTACCGGCTATTTTTTATGAAATTATTACAAGTGATCATTTATTTAGGCCAATTATTATCAACTATTTTCATCTATTACGTTTTGAAATAATTAAATTTGTGTCAATATGGCGCCGTTTTCAATATCATCAGTGTCACCATTTGGACAATTTAGTGCCGTTTTCATTATTGTCAAACTTAGAATCATCATCATCATCATCATATTATTATTATTATTATATGTAGCCTAAATAGCTAACATTACAGCGAACCAAATACTGAACGATTCCGAAAACGCGCAGGTTACGAACAGCAGTAAACCTAATAAGTGGAAATTTTCTTCATAAGTTATCTGTTGTGAGAAACTAAGCGACGTGTTGCGTGCTTAATGACCCTGCCAACTGAAGCTCCTAAATCTGAAACATCCACACAGGTAAAAATGTAAAAAAATATGGTGAATCTTTTCGTGTTCTGTAAAATTATCGCAGGACAGTTAAGAGTTTTTAGAAATGCAGACA